ACTTTTCTTTTAATCTTTTATTTTGACATAATTGCAGACTTGCATAAAGGTGAAAAGATTAATGCAAATAGTTCCCATAGACTCTACCTATAGTCCCCAAATGTTAATATTTCATCACATTTTTTCATTCTTTTCTCTTTCACTCTCTACCCATGTTTAAATTTTCTAAACCATTTAAAAGTAGCAAAAGTATTCTCTTTGGTCCCTAAGTACTTCAATGCGTATTTCCTAAGTATAATTTCTCAAGAATAAAGGCATTCTGTTTTATAATAATTCTGCATTGACCCACCAGGAAATTAATCAATAATTTTACATTAAATTAATATTTTTAAATGAAGTGAGCTAACACTTTTAACTAAAGCCACAGATCTTTTAAAAATTTTGCCTGTTTCCTCCAAAATATGGAGCAGCATGTCAGAGATTGTCAGGATGGTGCCGGATTGGGCCAGGGCTGGGTCTGTTATTTATAGGATCCCTACGGGTCGTCGTCGATTCAATGGTACAACAGCAATAACAATAACAACAACAGGGGTAAAAAGAGACCTAGGAGGCAGGCCCAGTGGCATCCACTTCCTAAATAACATGCCTCTGGAAACTCTATAAGTGTTGATAAATGTTGATCGTTGTAGAAGGGCTTCAGGCTTTTGGTCATAAGAGTTGCTATGAGTCGTCCTCGACTCGAAGGCAATCAACAACAACAACAGTGGGTAGTGCATTTTGTATTAGACTAACCAACAAAAAAGATCATTGGTTCAAATCTGCCAGCTGCTCCGTGGGAGAAAAATGTACAGCCTCTAAAACATGATAGAGTCATTATGGGTCAGAATCGATTCAATAGTGTGGGTTTTATAGCAGAAGAAAAAGCTTGGCTTGCAGGCCACATTTGGTTGCCAAATATCCTGAATTCCTTTCCATCTGGACCAGTTCTTTAGGTCGTGACATTTTGGGTAAGGACAGGTCAGTTGTTTTGTGACATGAACCTTAATTTGGGTTAGTGCGATGTTTCCTCATGATCCAAAACTCAAACTCATTGCTCTTGAGTCAGAGCCAATTTATTGCTGAGCCTCCTGTGGGTTTTCAGAGGGTACCAGTCGTCCTGCTTTCTCCTGCAGAACCTCTGATGGAGTAGAATCGCCAGAGAGTGGCCACCTTTGGGTTAGCAGCCCAGCTCCCCCTCCTCATTATTAGACTCAAGTTATCAAATGCGTCTCACGTATTGGCAGGAACAGCCCAGGAGTGATGCTGTGTCCCTCTCAGAGCAACCGGAGAAATGGGAGGGAAACCAGGAGAAGATCCTGGACCCAGAAAGAGGCTGATTTAAGGAAGGAGAAAATGGTCAGTCCCTTTGCTCCAGCTCTGCTAAAGAAGTCATCCTGGAAAAAGGTGAGACATGTCCTTTGGATGCAAATGCTGCTTGCAGGTCGCTGCAGATCTGACCAAGAGTAGTTCAGGTGCGCGATGGGCTGAAGGTGGCCTGTCGTGAGTTGAAATATTAAAGCGAGGGGAAGAGATAGAGACAAGGAAAAGCCCTTCTTTAGAGAAGCATTTGTCTATGATTGAACTGGGGTCGGGGGGAGACAGAGAGATGGAGAGCTGCTTGGGACTGGGAGATGGTTTTGAAAAATGGAAGGGACCCAAAGAGATCCAGAGTTGGCTAGGAAGGAGCCAGCTGAGAAGTTAAGGTCAAGGAAGAGAAAGACACTTCATCATGAAAAGTTCTTGAGGAGTCAGAAGATGAGGGAGTCCAAGCGTCTGGAGGAAAGCAGGAGCAAGTGACAGCAGATGCTCTGGGAATGTGGCGGGAGGATGTGAGTCAGAGCCCAGCGGGATGGTCTCTCTTTTCTCTGCTGATGAGGTGGCCAGCTAGAGAGGGGCACCGAGAAATGTTTGAGAGGTTCTCTGGCGAGAGGGAAAGAGCAGGCTGATCAGCTACAGAGACAAAGTCAAGAGCAAGTTCAGGCTTTCGGCCATGTTACTATCCCAGCAGCTTTTAGCTGCCTGGTGCAGGGAGCACAGGCAGAACTCAGGGCTGGGATCTACCTGGAAAGAATCTGGTCCAGGAGAGATGTGAAGGCTGGAGGGGACTGAGGATGTGAAGAAGTACAGTAGGCGAGATGGTTGGTGAGAGGGTTTTCTTCCCGGAGAGTGGTTGGTGGATCTGAACTGTTGACTCTTCAGTTAGCAACTGAGTGCTTAACTGTTCCACTAAGGCTCCTAGGGCATGGTGATCCAGCGGGAGTCCTGTCGTTAATAATTTTAATGAAAGTTATTTTTAATGAAACATGGGTGTGCATATACCTCGTGGGTAGCAGCTCTGTTTCCTTTAGGACATATTCCTAGCAGTGGAATCCATTTCCAAATTTTGAGAAAGTGCCAGACTGCCTTCCATAGCAGTTGTACCATTTTACACTCCCAGCAGCAGTTTGTGTTCCAACCGATCCACAACCTCACTAGCATTTCTTGTTTGCTCCTCTGCTGAACTTTGCTATTGTTACTGGGGTAAGATGATATCTCATAGTTGTTTTTGCCCATTGTGAATTTTTAAAAAAGTTGACCATTATCACTTCTCGGCCTTTTGGCTAAGATCAAGTGTAGTATCTGTAGTATCAGTTTAATATCTGATATGTCCTCTATCCAAGGACAATATATCATGTACACTGCATTGAAACAGATGAGGGAGAAAATTGTTTAAAAAAGATATATGATTAGGCATTATTGTCATGACAGGAGTCCAGAGGAAGGCTGCATACTGAGGCAGGGAGGTGGGTGAGAAGCCGAGGAAATGCGCAGAATGAGCTTTGTTAAAGAGCTCTCAAGTTGGCCTCTGACTCACGAGGACCCCACACATGACACGGTCAGGCTGTTAGCCTCCAAAATAATTGCCTCATTTTTAGAAGGAGCTGGCCCCCAGGCCTTTCTTACTACCCTGTCTCACTACAGAAGCTTTGCCGCGTCATAGCGACATGCAAAGTTCCTCTGACTGGTGGTGGCTGTGCATGAGGGGCCTTGGCTGGGAATCGAACTGAGGTCTCTGCAAAGAGGTAAGAATTTGACCACTAACTCACCACTGAGGGGAGGCACCTGGAGCAGCTCTGGTGCTGTGAGGTCAGAGGATCAGTGAGTAGTCCCTGGGGAGCCTGAGTCCCCAGAGCAGTTGCCAGGAGGAGGAAGCCACGAGCCAGGGCTTCCCAGGGCTACAGGTGAGGAGCAGGTGGTGGAGAAATGAAGAGGGAATGCATATGTGGTGGGATTCTAAGAAGTGGTGCTTTTGATGGGGATGAGCAGAAGGCACCCCTACTCTACCTTGGAGTTACGAGGGGCGAGGAGTGGCAGAAAAGCCACTGAGGGGTAGGCCAAGGGCTGCCTTAGGGCTGAGCCAACTCCCCCTTTAAAACTGGAGGGTGGAGAATATTTGGAGCACAAGTGGTGAGGCTTGTGACTTCTGACATGTGGGGGCTCCTCAGTATCCCCACGAGTGCTGTACACATATACAGTGTAGGGAACACCTTCCTTAGGGATGGAACACCTGGAGATGCCATTGAGCAGGAAGGTGCCCTGATTAGCGCTGAGGGGCTAATCAGAGCTCAAGTCAGGAGTTCCACCACTTCCTGTGGCCTCTTAAGAGCAGAGGCTTGTCTGGCCCCATGGGTATGGAGGATGAGTGCAAGGAGAATGTGCTATCTCTAGGGGCTCTGTCCACTGTTTGAGTCCATTAGTCCCCAAAAAGGCTTCTGGGGAGCCCTCCACACCTGATTACTCTACTACTCCATGTCTGCCCCCATTGCACCTGCTGGTTGGAACGAGCTGAGAGAATGACCAGGTTGTCATTCGGCCAGAGGCAATGGAGGCTGCCTGGGGTTGAACTGGCCTTTGTGTCCTGGGTTTATCTGTGCTACTGAGGCCATGGAAGACAGGTTCTGGGCCTTTCTGCTCTCCAGTTTCCCTCTTTACAGTCAACGAAGGAAAAACCTCTTATCTGACTGAGACCAGGTCATCAGTTGGTTATGAACTCTGTGTGTGTGTGTGTAGTCTCCAGGTCCTTATAGTTTTTAGGAACTTATAGGGTGATTAGGTCTCAATTCCCTCAGTTTTGAGGGTCATTTATCAATCAAGGGTTAGGCACCTTTCCTATTCCTCATGGTTTCCTATCATACTCCCCACTGGCCCCTCTCCAGAGGGTGGTCTTGGCACTACATTTAGAAAGTGGCATCTTGTGCCTCAATATCACCTCTCTGTATCTCTCCTTGATTTGCTTTCCAGTTCTGAAATGCCACCAGAAGGCAAGTCTGTGTTCCTTGAGTTAGACCAGGATCTAAGCCTGGGAAGGTGCGATCAGACGTTCACACTATAGTGTGAAATAGTTGGTTCATTCTTTCTATCTAGTGAAATACTGACTTTGAGAGAAGAGAAGGCATATTGAGAACTTGGAATGAAGGATGGGAGAGGGAGAGAAAGTTACAGAGTCTCCAGGGTGCTGTTCAGGCTTCCCCTATGACCCACCCACATCTCCTCCTCTTTACTCAACCTGAGAGTACCCGAGTACTCTTCTGGGGAAGAGTTTCAGCTTTGTTTGTGGTAGTTCTGTTCATCCCTCCACTCCCTGTCCCTGGGCCCTCAGGCTGTTCAGCCCAGTTATGGGTGTAGGTGGAGAGTTCAGGTTGAGTCTTGGTTCGATACTGAGCTCCGAGCATAGACTTTCCACGGCACAGCGCAGATGTCCCGGCAACCAGGAGAAATAAACATTCCAGAGTTCACAGTCCAAGTTCTGGAGTGATGTCACTCCCAGCTCCAGCCTGCTGAGCCTGGAGGCTGGCTGCACCCCAAACAGCTTCTGCCGCTCCGGCGGGAAGACCTGCTTCTCTCCTGGCCCCTACACAAGCCCTAGTGTGGGACAGTGTGGTCAGAGGGGCCTTTGCACAGATCCCACAGAAGCCCAGCTCTTTCCCTGCTACTAGAATCTCATAGTAACTGCTATTGCCTCCCCACCCCACACCCCAGCCATGAAGCCACCCCACAGGCCCAGGAACTCTTCGTCCTCCAGGCAGCCACCTGAGAAGAAGGCACCATCGTCCTCAGGGCAGGAGGTAAAGCAGCCTCCTGTCATCATGGCCATGCTCAAAGGTGAGAGTGGTCCCCTCCCGGAGCTTAGCGCCCTTCCCTTCCTGCAGGACTGCCAAGGGCATTAGCCTGCCAGTCCTGCCTCCTGAAAAGGCCTTTCAGATTCTCCTCAAAGTTGTCAGAAGACTTGCAGCTTCAAGCTGAACCTCTTGGCTACTAGAGGCTGCCAGGATTATTTTAGGGAGGTGGCAGAGTAGGAGTTGGGGCAGGCAGGAACTAGTTGGGAAAACGTCAGGGCCTTCACTGGAGCCTTTAGCCTGGCTTTAACTTTCTTCATGGCTCTTGACTCTTATTTTCAGCAGAGAGCAGGCAAACAAATTCATGTTATGTTGTAATGCCTGATAATTGCTCTTAGAGAAGAGATAGGGTAGAGTAGAGAGATTCAGTGCTTAGGCTCTGCTGACTATCATAGAATTTCCACATTACCAGCTTGTGTGGTTTCTAAGCCTCAAAGTTCTTATCTGCAAGATAGCATCTATCTTCAAGGGTAGTTTAGATTCTTAAACAAAATAATCTATATAAAATGTGCATAGCAGATCACATGATTGTCTGATTAGAAATGGCCAGTACCAGTCCATCTCAGCTCTCTAGTGCTTCAGATATCTATCTTTATGAGTCGTATGTCATTTTTATAACTTTCAATTTTCCTAGATTCATACTTGGTAACTTGGTACATGTTCCAGTTATTAAAGGATGTTTGCAGCTCTTTCCCCTCAGTTTGAGTCTTGCCACATCAGCAAATGAAGGTTCATCATTGGGCAAAAGTTTTCTTCCATCCGTGTCATTACCATAGACTCTACTTTAAGGAGCTAGCTCTTCCCTGGTCACATTGAGTGCCTTCCGGCCCAAGAGGCCCATCTTCTAGTATTATATCCCGCAATGTTCTTCCATTAATTACCCTTCGAGTTTTCAAAGGCTTGCTATTTTAGAAGTGAATGGCCAGTTGGGTTTCTAAATCTGTCTTAGTCTGGAAACTGCTGAAACATGTTTGCCATGTTTGAGCCTCTTGCTACTTGAAATACTGGTGGCGTAGCTTCCAACATCACAGCAACATGCAAATTGACAGATGAGTGGTGGATCAATAAGTATCATGATAGATGGAGAAAAGACTGAAGTTGTCATTGATTCCATTTTACTTGGATCCACAGTCAACATCCTTGGTACCAGCCATCAAGCAATAAAAAACATGTTACATTGGGGAAACTGGCTATCAAGAACCTCTTAAAAATTCTAAAAAGAAAGGATGTCAGTTTAAAGAGTAAGGTGTGCCTGATTCAAGCCATGGTCTTTTCAATTGCTTCCTATGAAATTGAAAGCTGGACAATGAATAAGGCTAACAGAAGCACTGATGTCTCTGACTTGTGGTATTGAGGAAGAGTATTGAGTATTCCATGGATTGCCAAAAAAACAACAAGCAAATCTATCTTGAAGGAAGTGCAATCAGAATGCTTCTTAGAGGCAAAGATGGTAAAACTTTGTCTCACTTACTCTGGGCATATTTTCAGGAGGACCCAGTCCTTGGAGAGAGCCATCATGCTGGGAAAGGTAAAGCGTCAGTAAAAAAGACGCAGACCCTCAAGGGGATGGATTGACAGTGACTACCACAGGGGGCTTGACCATAACAGAAAGTGTGAGGCGAGTGCAGAAGGGAGTAAGGCTCAGATCTGTTGTTCAGAGGACAGCTGTGTGTCATAGGTGACTCAATGGCCCCCAACAGTAACAACGCTGGATGCAGAGTGAAGTCAGCTCATTGCTGTTAGATAGAAAACAAGAGTTTGAGGGCGGGAGAGAGAGAGAAAGAAAGAAAGAAACTGGTCCTAAGAAATGAACAGGCCTTTATTGTGTGGTCTGAGAGGGACACCAAGTGACCGGTCTGAGAGGAACGCCAAGTGACCCAGCCACACAGCATGAGGAGAGGATCAAAATGGCTCATACTAAGGAAGATGGTATTTCTTGGAATTGGGGGTGTTAATGAAGTTGTTGTTGTTGTTGTTGTTAAGTGTCCTCGAGTAGCAGGAGACTCATAGCGACTAGCAGGCGACTCATAGCGACCTTATAAAGGAGAGTCCTCGACGCTTGTGTGTCTTTCTTCCTCTCTCCAGGTTCATAGGGTTTCTGGAGGCAAGCTATTATGGAAGTGGATGCCACTCCTCCTCCCAAGCTTGTTTTCAACGGGGAGCTCCACCCCACTCTCTGTCCGCATTGGGTAGCCAACCATTAATGCCATTTGACACATAAGTGTCACAGTGCTCAGCCTCATAGCAACCACAATTTACCGCTGTATGGCAATTTGTACACCAGGGCTATATGACCTAGAGTCAATTAAATTAGGTGTGGGCTATTTTGATCAGTCTCACAGCCTTCTCAGGATCTATTGTCTGGTCTTTGATATGACCAGCTTAGATGTTATGAGGTTTCTCAGGAAGTGACCAGTTCTGGGGGTTGGAACTGTTACCTTTATTAGGGAGCTGTGGTGGCCTGTTGTTGTTGCTTGCTTTTGGGTAGAGCACGACTCATAGCGACCCTATGAACAAAAGGTCTGAAGCCCCTCTACCACTATCGACATTTATCAAAGTTCATAGAGTTTCTGGAGGCATGTTGTTTAGGAATTGGATGCCACTCCTGCAGAGGTAAGAAATTGTGTTGTCAACCCAAAGGCACGTTTGAATCTACCAGCTGCTCTGTGGGAGAAAGATGAGCTGTTTACTCCTGTGAAATTAACTGTGTCTGAAAATCACTGGGAGGATAAGCTATGATACCCAACAACAACAACAACACCTTTATTGGAGAGCATGCTCATGAACTAGAGGGTAGAGTTGCTGCCAATACAAAGGCAAATTGTCTGAATCCATCAGTAGCTCCATGGGGAAAAGAGTTATCTCCTCCTGTGTGATTTATAGGCTCTGAAAACCTGCTGGAGGGTCAGCAATGAGTAAGTTCTGACTTGATGGCACTTAACAAAAACCTTGGAATTTCTTGGTGGTAGAACAGTTAAGGAAGAGGCTTAATTGACAGGTTGGTGATCTGCGTCTACCCGGAGGCCTCTAAAGGAAGACCTGCTTGGGAAATGTCACAGCCGAACAACATAAATACATACCTTGCTGGAGAGACTGAACTTCTACTTTGCAACACAGAGGGTTGCCATGAATTGTAATCCACCCGATGGGGCTTATTAAAGAGGGATCCAGGGAGTTCTTACGGCTTAGTGGTAAGTAACTATGTTGCAATCCCAAAGGAACACAATTTGAATTCACCGGCTGCTTCATGGGAGAATGAGTGATCTCCTCCCATGCAATTGGCTGCCTCTAAGAACCCCCTGGATGGTTGACAACTGGCCAATTAGGACTCGACAGCACACAATAACAACAACAATCGGATAGTGGTGATTCAGTGGTGAAATTCTTGTTCTCTGTGTCAGAGGTCTGGGTTTGCATCTCAGATATAGCCCCTATCTGACTTGTGGAATGAGTTTCAGCAGAGCTTCTAGACTAGGGAAGATTAGGAAGAAAGGTTTGGCATCTCATTTAACAGCAACCAATGAAAGCCTTAGGTCATAATGGGCTGAATTCCAATCAGTTGTGGGCTGGTGAAGGAGGGCTGCATCTGTTCTGCTCTACACAGGGTATCTGTGAGTCAGGGGCTGACTGTATGTCAGCTAACAACCATAACTTTACCTCTGTGCCTTGCCTGCCCAAGGGAAATCCCATTTTAGCTGTGAACAGTCTCCCCTTAAAAGAAGCAGCTCCATGGTGAGGTTTACGATAGCAAAACATTTGCAGGAAGAGAACTCATGGCTGTGGAATCAGAGCTGACTCTTTGGCTGAGCCTTCATTGGGTTCCTGAGCTGTAAATTGCACAGGCAGAGATGCCCCTCTTTCTTGAGGGGAGATACTGAGGGAGAAAACCCCCCAGTATTCTCAGGGTGTGCAGTGCCTGGGGCTTGCCCTGCTTCCGCTTCTGCAGCTGCAGTCTGACGGCTGTGCTGTCTGCCCGTTAGGTCCTGGGCCTGCCAAGTACTGCCGGCCATCCTGCACTGGCTACCTCAACCACGACATCTCCATGTTCCAGGAGCCAGCCTACACCCTGCACCCCCGGCCCGCGGAGAAGCGTGAGTGGTGATCCTTCTACCTCTCTTTAGAGGTGGGGGACAGTGAGGGTGACAGTGGACAGTGAGAGGCATGAAGTCTTTCTAACTACAGGTTCTAGGAACTAGGTGGTCCCAGGATTCAGAAGGAAGCCAACAGAGATGCCCAAGTGACCTCTGAGGGCATCTCTGTAGACTCCCCCAGTGGACCTCTCCAGGGACCTTGGAAAGGTTCTTTGCCTTCTTCAGCTTGGTCTCTGTGTTTGACTGGGCAGAACAGTGGCTGGGCAGACCTAGCTGCAAGTTTTAGGGAGGAGTGGGCACTTCAAGTGCCCAGAAACTCAGGGGTGGAGTGGGAGGTAGGACCTGCTGGCCAAGGTCAGGATTAGGAGAGGCTGGACAGAGCTCTGGAGCTGTGGTTTTAGATTCCTGTGATAGCAAGGCCCCTCTGGGAGGACACACCCTTCTCAGCAGAGCAACCCACTGGCCAGGGCTGGACCCCTTCCTAATCCTAATCTGTAGTAGCTATTATTACCCCTTGGCACCGGTCCCTACTGGGGTGGGTGGCAACTGAGCTATAGTGCAGCTGTTGTTCTATGTGTCTTCTGAGCTAGAGCTTCAGAATGACTGGCTATGTGTTAATAGTCCCATTTTACAGATGGGGAAACCAGGAATTCTAGAAACTCCCAAGAGCCATTTCTCCTCTTTTAGGGGGACAGGGGTCTATCATGAAGGCAGGATAGGCTCACACCAGGGCGGCCTCAGGGCTGACCAGCCCTCGTCTTGGCTTCCCCGCAGGGACTACCAGTGTGTCCAACCCCAAGTTTTGTTATTTATTGGATCCTAAAGTGACCAGGTTTGGAATGTCTGGTGACCCAAAGTTCACCATGGAGGAGCGCATAGCCAACCTGCGTAAGATGGGGTGCGGCTGGGGAGGGAGGTGGAGGCAGGGGAGTTGGAGTTCACCCCTCAAGACTTGAGGGAGGAACAAAGGGCCATGACCCCCTCTCTGGGTCTGTGGATGCTGGCATCTCCTTGCAGTGTCCCATTAGGATACTAATGTCCAGTACAGGCACCACCATATCTGCCCCATAGTTTTTAGCCAGTGCTGTTGCACTCTGTCTTAGAGGGTCCTTATAGGTTGAGTGGACTGCACAGTAAAGGGCTTGGGTTGTTCTGTATGGCAGTGTTGTTACAATGAAACTGCCATGGGGCTCATGACAGGTAGGGACATAGTGAGGCTAACAGCTCAGGGGCAGCAATCTCTCAGGTACCGTCTCAGGATGCTGGAGCCTAGGGGTGGTGCTATGATGGCACAGTTCATACATATGACAACAGTGTCATAGTCCTTCCCATGGCCCGGTGAGGGAGTTGAAGCCAAAACCCCCACAGACAAACCAGCACCCCAGCTCCTGGGCCCATTAGGCCTCTGCCCTGAGACCCCCCTCCTTTGACTCTTCCAGGCCTGAGCCCCACCTTAGCCCCTGGCCATTACTCTCCTGAGAAGGTCCCCCCTCCGGGGGAACGCAGGGCTCCTCAGTACACCTTCAGCGACCGGTACCCATACAGAGTGATGGACCCCAATCCAGCCCCCAACCAATACGAGCTGCCCCTTGTCCTGGGGCCCAAGACCCCCACCAGGCGAGCTGCCCCCTGCTATAGTCTGGCCTCCCAGGACAAGAACTGGTTCTACAAGGAGAATGTGGCGGGTGGCCCAGGTCCAGCCACTCACACCCGGCCTGAGCCTTCAGTCTATCAGCACCGCAGCCCCGCCTACAGCATGGCCAGGCGCTTCACCTACCCTGTGGACCACACATTGCGACCCAGCCCCGGGTCCCATGATGTCCAGCAGGTCACTGTGCACAAGCCCCACATACCTGCTTTCACCATGGGCATCAAACACTCGCCCTATCTGTGCCCACTGGTGGTTCACATTCGCGACTGAGCCCCTGGGTGCACTTGGCTGCCCCACTCCTCCTCATTCTACAGAATTTATTTTTCTATTCCTAGAAGAGCGACTCAGCCTGCTGACTGTCCAGCAGTGCATTTATTTATAAATCCTTTTGTTCTTCCAATACTTGTGACTGTTTCCTTTGGGCCCTGCTCTGGGAGAGGGGCTGGGATATATCGTGGAGGCCAGTGGGCTCAAGGAGGCTTCATCCGGGTGGAGGGGAGGCAGTAACATACCTTCTCAGGGACCCTAGGCAGGGACTTTGGAAAGCTGAGTTCTAGTCCAACCCAAATCATTAACCTGCTGTGTGACCTTGGGTATCTCCTGTCCCTCTCTGAACCTCAGGATGGCTCTGTAGATGTTGAGTGAGGTGGCTTGGAGGATGCCCACGTTACTCTCTGGCTCCGGGGCTTTGTGTCTCTGACCCCTGGTAGTGGTCAGCATCCATGAAGGACAATCAAGAGGGTCCATTCTAGTTGCAGATGAGCATGAGGTAGTCATGGGGGATCCTAGGTGAAGAATAAACGGAGATGGGCCTTCCTGGAGGAGGTAGCTGGGAGGTAAGGGTGAAGGCATACAAGTGGGGCCACAGTGTTCAGGGACGGGGAACTGGGATATGCTCAGGTGGAAGGAATGTGAGGTGTAGGAGGCAATGTGGTTTTTGACATCAGACCGTAGGCAGCTTGGAGGAGACTCACGCTTTGTTTTGGGAGTAATTAGCCAATATGATTGGTGTTTTTAATGTTTCCGTGTTTAGGGCAGTGGAAGAAGTTTGGACAGGAATGGCTATACCTAGGTAGGAGGTGATGGGACTGGAGAAAGGCCTGGTCTCTTGAAGTGGCGTGTCTGCAACACCACCCATCGTCTCTGGAGGGTCTCTGAGTGCAGAGAGGATTTATTAGAAGGAAACAGAGAGCCAGCCAGTAGGGGGCAGCATTGCCCCACCCATCGCGTTCAGACCTTCCAGAGACACTCCCAGCCCAGCCTCTTCCCTGCTTCTTTGCTTTGGGCTCTGGGATGGGCAGTAGCTGGGGTGTCCATGGCTCCTATTTATCCTTATTTAACCCTTGACATCCAAATCCACAATTCTGGACTCCCCCCTCACCCTTGGCTCCTTTGGCTACAGGTAGATGGAGAGGATTCTGCCTCTGTCCTGGAAGCCTGAGGGAGATTGGGGAAGGGGGTGCAGGGTGCAGCTGAAAACAGATTTGATGTTTTGAGGGGGACTGGAAGAGGGAAACAAGGATGGAGAGGGTCTTGAGAGAGGAGAAGGGCTGGAGGAGCTCAGAGACCCCCTGGCTCAGGCAGAGATGCTTTCCTCACCAGTCACTATCTCAAGAATGGGGACAGAGAAGAATAAATGTCCTCTTGGAACGAAGATGGTGTCAGATAACTAATTTTTAATAGTTTTCATAATATCCAGATTTTAATTTAAAATGAAGTTTAACTGATGGCTTAACTTTGGACAGAAGAGTAAAGAATATCTTTGGAATTATTTTTTTTTAAAAAACAAAACACCAAAGCAATGATATATTTTTAAAAGGGACCCTGTGGAAAATCTGAATATCCAATTCTGAGCTTGGAGTCCCCCTGCCAGCCCGCCTAGTCTGGCCATTTGTGCCTGTCCTGTTCTCCCCGTTCCTCAGGCAGGCTGGTCTGGACAGGCTCTCCGGAGGGGGAGTGAGCTCTGGGACCCATCTGTCTTGCAGCAGATTAGAAAGATGTCATTTTGCCGACAATGCCATTTATCACGGCGGCTGCAAAAATTAGTGATGCTTGGGCTGAAAGTGTCGGGTGGGGGTGGGGACCGGAAGGTGTCAGCAACCAATGCTCCCCCACATCACTAGGTCAGCAGAGTGGCAGGCCAGCTTCTGAACGACCCCCTCCTCTGAAGAGGGGAATGGGGGACTGACCCAGTCCCAAGGTCCTCCACCACCAAAAAAGATGAGAAAATGGAGGCTCAGATTCTGGAGATATGTTTGTCCATAGTCTTAGGACAAATGAGTTTCCTGTTCCTAATTAGAGGTATAAGCTCAGTCTATGACCAGGGCTAGAGTTCCGTGTATGAGCAAGATCAGAGCTCAGTGTGTGATCAAAAAAAGGACTCTGTGTGGGTTGAGGCCCTTGACCAATAGCGGAACTATGTATCTTAATTGTCTTCATGCTTTAATTTGGGAGAGACTCTCAGCCTTGTTCCCCGTGCTACCCAATGTGGGCCAGGCCCAGAGGCCATCCCCAAAGCTAGACCTAACCCTGAGGATAACTTATGGTCCCTGTCATCGTTTGTGGTTCCAAGGGAAAGAATAAGGTCTCGAGGGTTCAATGTGAGTCTTTGGAGGATGAAGATGTTCAGATGAGAGATGGTCCTGTCAAGAAGGGGATGTGTCCTCCAGAGAAAATGGATGGGACCTCCTTTGTGCCTTAGCCTAGAAAATGACAGGGCTGTGCAGCTTGGGATCAGCTTTTGGCAGAGACGCGCCTGTCCCTTGGCCTTGCCTCCCTGGTGATGCTGCCCCTGGACAGGAGTCCTGCAGGTCAGTAAAGCGATGGCTTCTCAGTCCTGGCTGAGTACTGACCTGGCCCTATGTGAACAACTTATCGAGTCCAAGTTTCCTGGCAAGAAGCCCTGGTCCAGTCTTCCTCGGATTTAAACCTGTGCCCTTAGGTAATTAGGCTCTTGGTCATGACATGATGAACATTTGCTGAGTGCTGGCTCCATGCCAGGCTGTAGCTTGGTCCAGGCAAGGAGCAAGGACAGAACCTTAATCCTGCCCTCCAGAAGCTCAGAGGTAGCTAGTGGCAGGGTGAGAAGCAGTTCTCTCCAACCACAAGCAGATGTTAGAGGCCAGAGGAGGCTCCAGACTTGGCCAGGTGCCCATACAGAGACAATGTTTAGTGATGAAAGCACAGCCATAAGAGCCCCTGGACGCTGAGTGTAGTGTCCTTCTTGTTACTGGGCCATCCGCTGCTGTGGCTCCCAGGAGCTTGGGCAGAGGTGTGGAGACTGAGGTTGGAAGAACCTACTTCTGTTGATCCTGTTATTGTTGTGTATCCTCGAATCTGAACGGACCCATAGCTGACCCTCCGATGGGTTTCCAGAGGCACTTAATCGCATGGGAGAAGAATGCCCATCTTTCTCCTGTGGAGCTCTTAGTAGATTCGAACCACATGCCACTAGAATTGCAGCGCAGCTTGTTACTGCTGGGTCACCAAAGCTCCCTCTGTTGATCTTGTTGTTGTTGATTGCCATGGAGTCAAGAACAACTCAAAGTGACCCTATGAACAAAAGACCTGAACAAAATGACTAATCAGTTCTCAAAGTTCGTAGAGTTTTCAGAGGCATGTTATTTAGGAAGTGGATGCCACTCCTGCTTCCAAACCTGTCTTAAACTGGGAGCTCCATCAAACTGTCCACCATAGGTTAACTGTTATGGCATTTGATACCCCAATGGCACAAGGTTCAGCGTTATAGCAACCCCAGGTTACCTCAGTACAGCAAATTGACAGAAGAGTGTTGTACCACTTAGAAGAATGTTCCTCCAAAATATAACAACAATATAAATACAAAGGCCCTCCCCAAGGTCTTGTTGATTTTGAACAAGTGGCTTAAATAAAAACAACCAATATAATATGTTGTTGTTGTTGTTATGTGATATCGAGTCTCCTGTGGCTATAGCGACCCTATGTACAGCAGCTCTGAACCCTTTCTTATCCTGAACCAGTCTCACTAATTCTGACACACCAACCCTCATTGCCCCATCTCATTTGGGGTCTTCCTCTCTTGTGATGTCCGTCCACCCTTCTGGGAATGATGTCCTTCTTCAAGAACCAGTCCCTCCTGGCCACGTGCCCAGAGTATGTGACAGAGCTTCAAAATCCTAGCCTCCAAGGAAAGACTTTGTTTCACCCTCTCCAAGACGGATCTATTTGTTTTCTTGGCGGTCCATGGTATGTTGATCTTAGCCATTCCAGAGGCATGCAAGTCCTAGTTGTGCATAAGCAAACACTTCACACTGATGCCTGTTACTTACCCCACATATATATGGAGACGAGATATACACATATAGGAACAGACACTATACCTTACTCAACACACACAGAAACAAGTTCAAATTCATACTCCGTATTACACACACATGGAAAAACACACAGGCACCCCGCTGTGCACTCTCTACCACACACTTTTTTTTTTTGTAAGTATACCACACACTTTTTAACACACACTCACCCTCTTTCTCTCAGAGAATGTCCCCCTAGGCTTACCACACCCCCTCCTGCCCTGCAGAGGGGCACAAACCTCTGATGATGTCCACGTGCCCCTACAGCAGGGCAGGGAAAGGTAGGACCATGGGCCTGGAAGGGGTTCATGAAGTTGGGGTGTGATTTCTGCCTCAGTCTCTGGACCAGAGGAGCTATGCTGCCTTTCAACTCTCCAGACTGAGGGTCCTGCCTGTGGCCAGCACGACTTTGCTGGAGGAGGGGTCAGCTCTCCTGCCCTCGTATTTAGAGATCCTGAGGACTGGATAGTGCAGGAGTTCCCACCCAGCTCCTCTACTGAGGGGCATGTTCCCCTTAATTTTCAGCGAGACTCAGAGGGGTAGCTCCCTGCTCCATCTCTCCAGTCCCCTTCAGATCTCTTTTTTCTCTTTCCCTGTGTCCCTACCATCTGGCTTTTCTCTTCCTCTGGCTCTTTCCCCACCCCAGGCTCACTCTGTGGCTCTTCTCTCCCTCTCCCTCCCCTCCCTTCACTTTCGGTGTCCCTCTGCCCTGTTTATCCTCCAGAATAAAGATCGACATTTCCAATTATCTGCCCCCCCCCAATAACAGAGCCATTCTTGGAGGCTCAGCAGGGAGACAAACTGTATGTACACGTGTGCTTGTGTGTGTGTGCGCCTGTGGGTGGGTGCGGAAGGTGCTGGGGACACCTACCACCCACGGGCCCACTGGCCTTTGTTTGCATTTCCTCTTCTGCAGCCTTCACTTCTTCCTGGGAG